CTTTAATAATGACCATACTAGACTAGATCATGGGACTTATATTTGAACCAAATGGAGGTTTTCTCTACTTTTCTGTCAATAGACTTTGGGACTTACTGAGAGTTGTGTTCAGCCAGCAGAGGACCCTGGCTTCTGTGACAACTCATTGAGATAATTACACATGGAAACATGAGCAGGAAGAGATTATTTTCTGCTTGAGGACAAGAGAAGAGAGGGAACAAGAGGTCATGAGCTGACATCTTCAGCTCAACTCACCAATCAGATGAGCCTCTCTTCCCATGCAGAGGAACAAATAGTAGGAATAAAGGGGCATTGGTAAAAGGACCAAACGAAATTTATCTAATGGTGCTCTTTCCTGGGAATGGAGTGAATGTGTCTTCCACCCTATGAAAATACAAGGGTTTTCCCACCTTCCTACCTTTGGGTCTTACTTCTTGTGATGCGCCTGCTGGTACCTTTGCATCTGCCATTCTAAAGTGCCTGTGGATACCTGAGCAGCCCGAAAGGGTCCCTGCCCTCTTACCATGCTGCTTTCTAGGCCTAGAACTTCTCCATCCTCCCAAGTCTTAATTTGTTTGATTAAAATCTCTCTCTCAATATTCATTTACTCCTTAATCTCCACTGCACCCACTCACATGCTGTATGGAGCTCCACCACAGCATGTGAGACACAAGTATGTTTACTCTTCTCTGTCAGTCTTCTGATGCTAGAATGTGATTTCCTTAAGGGTAGAGACCATATCTTTTTATCTGTGCACATCCAGTGCCAAGTATATTGCCCTTAAAGTAGGGGACATTGAATAAAACTCTACTGAGTAACTGAATGTATGGATGCATGCATGAATGAATGAATGATGATTATGCTTAGGAATCATACCTTTATGAACTGTGAAAAAGTTATTAGCAGAGTGTGTTAGAAAAGTGAGCAAAAAAAAAAAAAGTGGTAAAACGATGGAAAGCCATCAGTGTAATCTGAATCTTGGTTCTTGCTTTTTTCTTCTACTGCAACAGAACTGATGCTCACCAGCCTGCCAGAAAGACACTCACAGGAAGCTGCTCTGGGTTCTCTATTAAGGGTTGGTGCAGTCGATGACCCATGGTTCACAGCTCCCCTTTGTCTTCTTGCCTGAAAAGTCATAACCCATCCACCATCTGAAACACTCGCACTTATACAATTAAAACAGAAAGAAGAAAGGTTTGAACTGAATTGTCTTTGACCCCTAGGCATCCCTTCCCACTTGCTGTTCTCAGGAGGCCCAGGCCACCTGCCAGGAGGTATTTTCACACTCAGAGAGAAGACTGCTCCCCATCACAGATGCTGCTCTGATGTCTTCCAAGAGCCTCCTTAAGTATCCCTGTGTCTCTGCCTTCCCTTAGACACCAAGGCTGGGTTCTCCTCCACTTACACTATAGGAAGGAATAGGTATATCTTCTTTAGTAAGGATTTACCGTAGCTTCTGTTGCTACTAAAGGAACTGATACTCTTCATGAAGAAGAAAAAAATGAACTTTGTAAAACTCCAGTCCCCTAGAGATATCAGTATCTAAAACTACAACTTACTCTTGCTTTCTCTGACTCTGGGGTGTTGTTATTTTCAAATCTTCCAGGGAGTTAATGAACTCTAGCTTCCAAGCATTCACACCCCGTCTGAATTCTCCGTCATGCTATTTGGCCCATGTAGAGCCCTAGTGGACTTCTAGAAATAATAAATTTCATTGTAAAAATTCTTCTGGACAGAAGGGCCTGGCTTTGTCTAAATTACGTTGGAGAGTGTCTGCACAGACAATATTTGGATTTCTGCTAGCTGTTCTGCTAGCAAGTTCTTCAACAAACAGCGTCACCTCTATAGAACTCCGAAAGTATCTAGTTACTACCTTGGACAGGACATTATTAGGGAAAGCCCCACCCAACAAAGACATATCATGCTGTTCAAGGTAACTACAGTAATTATTTAAACTTCTACTACCACTACTGCCATAGCAATGATGATGACCATGACTGTGACTACTTCTACTGCCATTTATGCAGCAATTACTATAATAAGTCATTCACATATATTATGACATTTAATTGTCTCATAGTGACTTTGGAACCCCACACTCAAAAGACGATATCTAGGGATCTTGGAAGTTAATCTGCTTCATTTTTTATTTTTCCATGCTAACTGTCCTAGTAATCAACTTCATCATGTAGGAGGTGTGATTTGTTTTATTCTGACATGTTTCATGAAGACTCTATTTGTCTCTGTCTCAGTCTGGCATGCCCCAACTTGGCACCGTACTTTATGTTCCATGCAAGACATTGAACACGGTTCACAGAGATGACTGTTGCTTTGCCTATGGCAGAATAGGCTTCAGTATGTTAGCACCTGTGAAATCTCCATGTTAAGGGTTCACCTGGTTGATCTAAGAGGCGTTTATACCTATGTCCAATGCTGCTTCTTTCTGATACCTGTGACTCCATCCTGTTGGTGGCAAAATATCCTTGCACAAAGAGTGTTGTTTTCTCTCACTTTGATCAAACCTACAAACACACAATTTTATTCCTGCCACTATTACCTTAATTTTTAAGTTGCTTCCTACCCCGCGCCAAATATCTGTTAATCCTCTTAATCTCTGGCCATGGTCCCTGACGTGCATTCAAGTTTAGGTAGGCTTCCAGGGTATGCCTATTCACAGGTAAATTACTGCTGTCTGTCAGGTACAGAGTAGCACCCACATGGAACGTGTTAATCCTCTTAGAGGATTTATTGCCACCTCTGTGACCCACCCGCCTCATTTCCGCTGCTTTCCAGCTGTACCTTTTATACCAACTGTGAATTTTACCTCATACCATTTGCTAAGACCTTAAGAAATATTGATTTTTTTTTAACTGAAGAGGTCACATTTCCATAGAGGGTATGTAGAAATCAGTGAAGGGATACAGATATTTTGAAAAATCTCCTTGATGTCTATGAAAAAAACCTGTACCCACCACCCATCCTCCACCAACTTTTTCATGATCCTTTCTTTACTCCTTTCCTTAATTCCCTCCCATCCACAACATTTCTATACCTTCCAGGTTGGTCAGAACGGGGAGGAATTACAGGCCACCTAGAAACCCATCCGGTAGGCAAGACTTTATGATAAGATCAGTGACTAGCTTTGGTCCTGGGAGAGAACAACTTTCTCTTTCAGACACATACAGACCATTTGCCTATGCAGGAAGTTAAAGAAGTATTGTTTTCAACACTTGAAGATGAGAGAGGCCATAAAACCTAGGTTTTGTTTTATGTGAGTCTTTAAAAAGTACATAAATAGCATATGTTTATTGTAAGAATAGTAGAAAACACACATAAGCAAAATGAGGAAAATAAAACTCGGCTTTAATTAGATTTTTCGGATGTAATTACACTAACTCTGTGGTGCTGATTATCTCAGACACTTTTTAACCGGTGAGCAGGGGGGTGATGTGCAGCAGATAAAATGCACTCTGAAGCCACTTTTTTCTTAACCGTATATCCTAGACATCTTATCTTGCTATTAAATATTCTTCTACAGAATTATTTTAATGGCTGTTTGGTTTTCCATATCATTTTGACACATAACTTATTTTTAACACTCATCTCTCCTTGTGAGATATTTTGTATTTTCTTTTTATATTCTTATAAGCAAGGCTTTAATGACCATCCCATATAAATATAAGCATTTCTCAAACTAAAACTATGATAATAGTGAGAATAAAATGTTAAGTATTCAGTTGTTAAAAATTCAATGTTAAGTATTCAGGTAAATGTAAGTACCTGAACAGGTTACACAGAGTCTATGAATACTTTATTTTCAGATAGTGCCCAGTTTAAAAGGACCTATGATTTTGTGGTTTAGAGTTTCATCCTGCATAAGGTTCATTTATGAGATAACATCCACCGGGAATATATCTGATCAAAGTGAGCGTGATGAAAGGTGTTCACATGAAGCATGCTTTGCTTTGTGTGGGTTAACTATATTAGGATCAGCCTGGGGTACAAAAGGAAAAATGGCAATGTTTTCAGCAATATGCAGCAAGTGTTTTAGTAAAGTATCATTCTAGAAAGCGATTGACTAAAGAAAATTTTACTTAAGAAATACGAGCTATTGAAACAATGGCCTTATTATTTTAAGGACATTCAGAAACAATGTATCAAGATAATAGGGCACAATGTTTAAGAGCCAGACTGTGGAACTGGGCTCCCTGGGTTTGAATCCCAGCTCTTTTACTACTGGAAATTGACTATGCTGATCTTGATCATTTTACTTGCTGCTATGGTCTGAATGTTTGTGTCCTGGAAAAATCCTTATCTTGATACTTAATACAATAAGAATAAAAGGTGGATACCTTTTATTTATTTTATCTCTCATTACTAAGAATTTAGTCTCCCTCGAGCTGTCATTCATTGTATAGTCACAAGGCAAGTTGCAAACCCAACCCTTGACTAAAGGGATTGTCAAGAATACCCATGTTGGATATTTAGTGACTCTCCTTGATTTCATTAATCAGTAGTGAATTTCATTAACTCATTAATAAAAGGTGGATCCCTTTGGGGTCATGAGGGTGGAATTCTTATGAAAGGGATTAGTCTCCTTGTAAAAGAATCTTGAGGGAGTTTGTTTGCCTCTTCCATCATGTCAAGACACATAGAAGACACCGTCTATGAGAAACAAGGCCCTCATCAGACACGAAATCTACTGGTGCCTTGATCTTAAACTTCCCAGCCTCTTGAACTACAACTGATAAATTTGTGTTTTTTATAAATTACTCAGTCTAAGGTATTCTTTATAGCAGCCCTAATAGGTTAAGACAGTTTTCTTTACTAGTGCCTCAATTTCCTCAATCACATGAAAGGAGATAGTGCCAACTTCAGAAACTCGCTGAAGGTAATAACTTTGCAAGCACGAGGCACTTAGAATTCTGTCTGACTCATTACAACCCATATGTAAATGTTTGCTCTCATCATGAGTGTCAGGGTATGGAATTTCTCTGGCACTGAAAAAATCAGCTTTAATTGTTTTAGCCTTTACAGGACAAAGGATAATGGTCAAACATTGTGGCACTCTTCTACTTCCTTTTTTGCTAATTATACAAAACCTATTCTGAAAGCCACATTTCATCCCCCGCTCAGAGGCTCCAGTTGGTGGCCAAGAGTACATCTCTTTTCAAATAGCTGGATCAGGTCCTCATGCTGCTGTGGTCATTGCTGGTCATCTTTGGTGAGTTCAATAATTTGGCTGAGAACTGAGGTGGCAGCAGAATGAGGTCTACAGCTCCCAAAAGGTTGGAGGCTTTATCGGACCCAGGGAATGGTGGGGGTGCTCAGGTCCTTCCTCCAGCTTGGGCTTCAGTGGCAGATGCAAAGAAGTAGGCTGAGGACAATGAAATTGCTGCACATCCATTAATCATTAAGCACAATGCTTAGCTTTCAAGGTAGAACACTTTGCCATTTGCTGGTCATTAATTGCTATTTTAATGTCTTAGATCTCATTGAATAATATGTTCTCATAGTAAAATGTTCATAATATTAGCATTTAGCACTGCCCTTCTCCTCCATGAACACCAAGTATTTAATTGTTATCTATAAGATTTGGGTTCAGCAGATGCATTGAGACCCTTTGCTAATGTTCTTCTGTTTAATCGTGGACAGTGAGGGCGATGACAGCTGCTGCTAGAAAATAAGATTCCTGGCTAGGCGCGGTGGCTCACGCCTGTAATCCCAACACTTTGGGAGGCCGAGGTGGGTGGGTCTCCTGATGTTAGGAGTTTGAGGCCAGTCTGGCCAACATGGTGAAATCTCGTCTCTACTTAAATACAAAAATAAGCTGGGTGTGGTGGCAGGTGCCTATAATCCCAGCTACTTGGGAGGCTGAGGCAGGAGAATCCCTTGAACACAGGAGGTGGATATTGCAGTGAGCTAAGATCACACCATTGCATTCCAGCCTGGGTGACAGAGTGAGACTCCNAAAAAAAAAAAAAAAAAAAAAAAAAAAAAAAAAAAAAAAAAAAAAAAAAAAAAAAAAAAAAAAAAAAAAGGCGATTCCTCTGTCTATGCTGTGTAGGCACTAAATAAGTATTTATTATTGGAATAAAAGGGCTCTAACATAAAATATGGCCACAGGAAAAAGACTGATTTATTGATTTCTTTGAACTCTCATGATGTACGTTTCCTGATGAGCCTTTTATGATCATGTTGTCATGCCTGTCTACCACTTGAAAAGTCTGAGTGTGAGATAGACTTGTGGGGGATGGCAGAAGAAAAATGAAATCAAGGAGAGTCACTAAATATCCAATGTGGGTATTCTCTGACAATCCCTTTAGTCAAGGGTTGGGCTTGCAACTCGCCTTGTGACTAAACAATCTATTTCCCTAATCTCTCCTTACTAACAATTCAGTCTCTCCTCGAGCACACATCTTGAGAGATTAGGGAAACAGAAAAGAAAGAAAAAATGGAAAGAAGTTTTTGAGCAATTTACCAGAGTAATATCAATTTATCAATTATGAGGGCAAATGCTGTGTGCTAATCTCTGGCTTTTGATCTCCTCACAGCTGCAGTCAATGAACAGGCAGGTGAGTCCTCCTTGTCTTTGTTGTTCTTGGTCTCAGGTGTATCAGTTACCCAGCTACCCCAGGGTTCTGTAAAGGTGGCTCTGGAAAGCCTGTGAAGACGTCCTAACATTACTGCCCTCCAGGCCGACATGTTCTGAGGTCACGCAGCCTGTTTCTGCCACCGTTTGCATGTCTGGACGACCAGGTCCCACCCAGTCTTCTCAAGGTCCCAGATGCTTGCCTCTGCTTTAAAAGCCTGGCTGTATTGAAGGTCAGTAATGTCTGAAAGAAGGCGTGCAGATTGGAGAGAACAATTTGGAGAGAATTATTTTCCTGCCCGTAGGACTGTAATGCCTCAATACTGCCTGGCTGAACGCTGAATGTTTTCACAGCTCTGAAAACAATTATTTATAGAGGAAAGTGTCAGAACTACAAAATTCTGCAGGGTCAGAATAAACGTGTCCTCATTGCTTCTCTAGCTCTAGCTCAGGAGTCAGCAAGCTATTCTTGTAAAAGGCAAGAGAGTAAAGAGGCTAAGCTTTTCAGGTGTATGCTGTTAACTGCGGTAGCAGGAAAGACCATACGTAAATGAATGAGGATGGCTACATTCCAATACATTTTGTTTAACAAAACAATGTTGGCCAGCTCCCAGGCCGTAATTTGCCAACCCCTGCTCTAGATTTAGTATTTAGTTTTGAGTTTTTAAAAATACATGTATTACTGTTCTAATCATAAAGACAGGAATAAAGCTAATTTTATTTTACTCTGAGTTAAATCTGTGCTTAGTGAAGAAAGTCAATGGGAAAAAATATTTTATTCTGTAAACAGAATCTTCACATCAGCCAAGACAAAATCTAAAGTAAGGGAGAATTGTTTCCTTGTCTATTGAATGTTGGCTACCAAGTGGAAGGGGCTCTTTGAGCTCTAAGGAACAGTGTGGGGATAAGCAGACCCCAGCCTCACCTTGAATAGAACAAGAGCAGCCAGGGAGAACTTCAGGGGTCCTATGTGGAGCTTGCTGAGGAACAAGTCTGATCTCTTGCATTCATTCTGCCCACATAAGTTCCCAGAGCTCCACTGTGTGATACCCATCCCCCCACTGTCTGTCTGGATAGAAATTAGAGGAGACCTCAATCAATACTCAGGAGGTTTCTGACCATTAGTGGAATCATGCCCGGGTGGCGGGCTCCCTGAAGTGAGTCACTTACAACCATTTGGAGAACAGGACAACAGCCACTTCATTCTCTTACCTTTCCTTTCCTTGCACAAGAGCTTCTCAGAAAGTTGAGATGGTCTTCTCAAGTTTGAGATCTTTTCTTTTTAAAAAGAGTGAGAGGATATTTAGTCCAGCATGAGGTATTGGAAAGAGCAGGACGTATATAGCCAGAAAGACCAAACTGAAATCATGGCTTATATACCTGCCCTGTAGGCTGGGCATCACTTGGCCTCTGAACCCCAGTCTTCAGGGAAAAGCTTCTGGTCCGTTGAGAATTACACTCCCCTGCAAGGCTTGAAAATGCTAATCAGCATAGCAACTGAAAAGGTCTTTCTGTCCCCATCCATTGCCTCAACGTGGTCTTCTACCCCATTTCCTCTTTTCAGCCCCACCCATACACTGCACTCACCACCTGGGAGCTTGTCCTTTCATGTAAGGTTCTGAAAAATACCATTTGCTTTTGTTTTTTGCTGAGAAATACCATTTGCTTTTGGTTTTTGCTGTAATGATATTTTTCAGTGAAATTCTTGTGAAAAAACATGATTCAGTCCTGTACATCTTGCCCCGAGTTAAATCTTTGTGCTTCTACTATTTGCTTTCCCCAAGAACTTCTGTTCACAACCTACCCTTCTCCCTGCCCCCTACCATTGTCCCTCCAATGCAGTTCTCCTCTGTACTCTCTGGGGTCAGGAAGATTCTACTGGGCACTTCTGTAGGGAGAGCCACTCTCAGCCAGTTGCTGGAGGATTTGGAACTCCCTGAGGATGAACAAGTCAGCATTAGGGCTTATTGCCCTTCCCTTCTAGGGCCTCTGACTCCTTGCTCTCCACTAATGGTGCATGCAAATTAGAGCTCTTGAGGTTGCACCCCAATGAGAGTCAGTGTGGAGCCAGCACACTTCTGCTGAGGCCTCCAAACTGCCAGGTAGTTGGCATCGGAGCAGTCACTGCCATGCTGGAAGCAAGTGGATACAAGCTCGCACAAACCCTATTCTGACTCTTTGGGTTCCCTCATATGAAACTGTGGACCAACTTGTCTACCTCATAGGTAGGACATCACTCTCAGGGGTTTTGACTTCAAATCACCTTCATTTATTCAGTATCCCTGAATCCACCCCATCTCACAGACCTGAAACCCATTATTTTGGTTGCTCTTGAAGTGCAGTTATGATGTCCTCTTAGTCCTCCTCAGCCATCATTAGCCTCTGCCACAAAGACATCCCCCATTGAGGCTGCGAAGATTTGTGGCCAAGTGTTCCGTAAATGCCAGCACCATTGTGTGCTTCTCACAGAATCCTTAAGGCAGTCTGATGAGAGGCAAATGCTCTTTGTTGTTCCATTTCTTAGACGAGAAACTGTAACCGAACACAGGTCCAGCTGCTCACTGTTTGCAAAGACCAATTAACAAGGAAGACATCTGTAAGAAAGACAGTGACTTTTCAATTCAAAAACTTAGCTGAGGGGAAGCAGTACAGGCTCCTGCCTTGAAAGTACCACTTCAGCTTCTGAGGCAGAAGGCAAGGGCTTTCAAAGGGGCACTTGGTGTGAACAGCATGCAGGGGAGGAAGCAAAGTGGTGCAAGTCTCCATGACTTTCTTTGGATGGCATCTGTCTGGCTGGCATCAATGTGGGCACAGCTAGGTTGTAAACTGAGGCAATCTTCTGGTGGGAGAGAGTTCTGGAGGCACCTGGTTTGCTTTGAATTTCTGTCTCTGGATCCTTTAAGTAAACACATAGATAAGCTTTCAGTGCAAGGAGTGGCTTGTGGAGAGGAGATAAAGATTCTAATTGCATTCCTAAAGAGCTAAGTAGGAGGTGCGGGAAGGAAAAAGGTAAAAATACCTCTTTTTTTTTCCTTGGAAAAATAGGATAGTTTATTACAAAACCAAGGTTCAAAGAGTAAAGTGCTTTGTCTGGTATCACACAGGTAACAACAGTAGACTCAGATTCAAAGCAGTGTGATGTGGCTTTTCACCACTAGGTTCAATGTTCTGAGCACTGAAATCAATCAGTATCCCCTGGTGAGACTCTGGCTGCATCTTTACTTTCCGGCCTCTGAGCTTTAGTCTCTCTCCACAGCGATTCCTCTTGGAGCTGCAAGTCACCTCACCCCGCTGCTCCTACTTGCTGGTCTGCTGTTAGGGACTCAGGATCATCCACTCCTCACTGCTTTCCATCCTCCGGCTTGCTCTTGGGGCAGTCTGCCTCTTACCAAGCAGTTTGAGGACACGAATCATCCTTAACGACCAGCTCAAAGTCTCACGTTGTCAGCGGTAGCTGGAGCTGGTGAGACTGCCTGTCTTGCCGTTTTCAACAGCGTCTCTAATCACGACTCCTCTTCCTATCAGCAGGGGCGTTCTCTACAGGAATCTCTTCTGTTTGTGGAGGAAGACTCTACCAGTGTACAGTCTTCCAAGTCCCACAGTGGAGTTTCCATGAGATCTAGTATCCATTTGCAAAGGAGGGCACAAGTCTTGAATGAAGTTAGTTGTTTCTCCAACACACCTTTTCTGCCCTTCTAAATTCATTTTAAAAATTAGATTGTTCCCCAATGTCCAACAGGTAATTCTAGTTCTGTTGGAACAGCCAGTAGCAAACCATACATTTTTCCAAAAACGATACTTCCAAACTCCACGAATCTCCTGTGACTTTTTGGCTCTAGCTCTGCAGTAGCATTTTATGAGTCATCACATCTCTTATTTTATTGACTTCTACTTCCTTCTACACATCTGACAGTCATGACACAATTGAATAGCGATAAGATTTTTATTTGAGATATAACTTAATTCCTTATTTTGTGGTCAGAATCCTCTACTATAATTCTAAAATATCATGAAGATGTCACAAACACAAAACTAGTCTGGTATCATAAATAAATGAAGCGACGGGGTCAAAATAAGGAAAGCAACCTCTGGGGAGGACATTTGTCTTTGGCAATAGCTTTTTTCTTTATATGATCAGTCTCTAGGGACTGAGTCTTAGATTAAAAATAATCTCTACTTCATTGAATAGATGAGAAAAAATGTTTTCTGTAAGCATTCAAGTAGAGAATTCAAGATACTGGATCTTATTCCAGTAACTGGCTTATTTCCAATAATCCAGGACACTTGATGGTTTTATCTGATGAGGCAAGAAGAAGGGGTGAGACCTGAATTTATAACACAGTGTAGAGCTCTGAGGGCTGGATGAAGGCATGAGGGTGAGAAAATAAAGCGCCCGCTGAGGACAATGGTTTCCCTGTATGGTGTCACTGATGGAGAAAGCTGAAGATGTTTATCAGAACACTCCTTCATGAACATTAAAAAATCAAGATGACTTTGACACCCCTGCAATAGACTGAATGTTTGTATCTCCCTCAAATTCATACGTTGAAACTCTAATCCAGATGTGACGGTATTTGTAGGGGGGGCCTTTGGGAGGTAATAAGATCATGAGGATGGAACCACCATGAATAGGATTAATGCCTTTATAAGAGTCCAGAGAGCTAGCTGGTTCTTTTTCTACCATGTGAGGGTAGAGCGAAAAGTTGGCAGTCTGCAGCCTAGAAGATGGCCCTCACCCCAACCCGACAATGCTGGCACCCTGACCTCAGACTTTCAACCTCCAGAACTGTGAGAAATAAATCTCTGTTATTAATAAGCCACTCAGTTTATGGCATTTTGTTTTAGCAGCACGAGCTATAATATCCCCTGAAGAAACATGGGATGCAACTCTCAGTAATTAAGGCATGGGTTGGAACCTCTACGTTGTCTAAAGAAGTAGAGGCTATGGCTGGGGCCACCTCACTGCCAACGAAGCCTATCTGGGTTCTCTGCAGAAATGGCTAATCCAGTCTCCCTCCTTCCCTTGCAGGCAAGCTGACCCTTTTGGCGCCCTCTTCTGTCTTTGAAGGAGACAGCATAGTTCTGACATGCCAGGTAGAATGGAAGTGGAACGTCCAGACGATGGCGTACTACAAGGATGACAGAGAGTTATTTGTTTTCAAAGAAGTCTCAAGTTTCCATATCCAAAGTGCAGTTTTAAGTGACAGTGGTAACTATTTCTGCAGGACCGAAGGAAAGTTGTTACCGGGTAAAAGTTCAAACATAGTAAAGATCAGAGTCCAAGGTAAAACCCTCACTTCTTTGGGATGGGCTGGGTAAGAGACCGCGGCAGCAAGGCAGGGTGGGTACTGGGTAGGCGGAAGCCGCTCATGGGCCAAATATAGACTGGGACGCTGTGGTTTGACCATCAAGGGAGCCATGATGGGTAAGAGGTGTCTGGCTCTGAATGTCTTGTTTGCTGGAGTTGCTTCTTACCAGGGGCTTTTCAGCAGGAACCTTAGACCTCACTGCTTTGGGGACTGTTGTGATCCTTCTCTCTAGAGCTGTTTCAACATCCTGTGCTGACAGCCAGTGACTTCCAGCCCATCGAAGGGGGTCCAGTGAGCCTGACATGTGAGACCCAGCTCTCTCCACAGAGGCTATATGTTCAGCTCCGGTTCTGCTTCTTCAGAGAAAACCAGGTCCTGGGGTCAGGCTGGAGCAGCTCCCCGGAGCTCCAGATTCCTGCCATGTGGAGTGACGACACAGGGTCTTACTGGTGCAAGGCAGAAACGGTGACTCCCAGGGTCAGAAAACAGAGCCTCCAATCCCAGATTCATGTGCGGAGTAAGTATCGGTGAGGCTGGGCCTGGAGAGAAAAGACAGGAGGGCTGTAGCTTCAGTTTGAATTGCTAGTCTTCTTGTTTCCTTGTTCAACTCCTGTCCTTGAAGAAAGTGAACATTAAGCTAGAAAAAGCCTCCAAATTGCTCCTGGCTTCTTTCTTCATAAGAATCAGAAATGGACTAAGCCCCTTATCATCTTTTTTATTAGTTAAGTAATATTCATTGATCAAGCCTTGATTGATCACTGACTGTATGCCTTGTCATTTAGCAGTGGGTTCGGTGCTTTGAAAGACAAACCACCTGCTTTCTAATGGCCCTCTAAACGTCGCCACATGCTGAAATTGCAACACAAATTGACTTACCCGAAGGCAATGTGGTGCTAGAGCGTATAGCACCATCTGAAGCATCAGGAAAAGCAGATCTGAGTGAACGGAGCCGTCAGAGGAGAAGTTGTATTTGGTTGAACCTTGAAATTAAGAATAATAGAAGAATTGTTATTGGGACTGTGACTTTTCCAAGGCAAGACTGATGATATCAGTGCCCTCTATATTCTGTGCAAAAGACATCTGTGTGCAAGTGACTTTTCCAAAAAATTGAACAGTTTCCTGTCTCATGGAGTGGATGATCCATCACAAATTATTTAAAAGAATTTTAAAAGACTTAAAAGAATCACCCTCTTCACTCTGTGAAGGAGAGTGATGCCGGCAACTTCTCCTCTGACCGCTGTATTCACTCAGATCTGCTTTTCCTGATGCTTCAGATGCTGCTCTACGCTATAGCACCACATTGCCTTCGGATAAGTCAATTTGTGTTGCAATTTCAGCATGTGGAGACATTTAGAGAGCCATTAGAAATTAGCCAGGGTTAGAACATGAAATTAGCCAGGGTTAGGACATACAAATATCTTTATCCACATTCCTCAATGATAATTGTCATAGATTCCTTACTTCCATAGGAATGCTTATAATGGATTATCTATACAATCTCTACATTCCCACTCCTTGCATTAGAGAATGGAATCAGTCAAACCCTATTCCTAGAGTTTCCCTTAGAGTTCTCACCTTTTATCTTATATCCATCTAGGAATTCCCATCTCTAATGTGAGCTTGGAGACCCGGGTCCCTGGGGGACAGGTGACTGAAGGACAGAGACTGATCCTGCTCTGCTCAGTGGCTGGGGGTACAGGAAATGTGACATTCTCCTGGTACAGAGAGTCCACAGGCACCATTCTGGGAAAGAAAACCCAGCATTCTCTGTCAGCAGAGCTGGAGATCCTGGCTGTGAAGGAGAGTGATGCCGGCAAGTATTACTGTCAAGCTGACAACGGCCATGAGCCTATCCAGAGCAAGGTGGTGAATATACCTGTGAGAAGTGAGTGACACTCTCATTCATATCTGCCAGAAATTCCCAAACCAAGGTCATGGTACACAGGAGTCACGAGGAAATTTCAGGAGGCCCCAGGGATTAGTGTTGCGGAGAACCAAAAGCAATTTGCAAATGGGTTACCCTTGCAGGTTAGCCTGCTGACCTGTTTCTTTTTGTGGAAGGAAACATAAAGAGGGCTGCAACTGATTACGAAGCATAAGCATTCTTGCCATACTGCAATAGGTTAATAAAACATCTATTACATGAAACCTTGGAGCTCTGGGCCAGGGAGCGTCATGGATCTAAAAGGTTTATAGTGTAACAGCCTGCTTCATTTTATGTCATTTCCTTCAAAGTGATTAGAGTGTTTCTACCTTGCAGAGATTACACCCAAAGGGAGACATGTTACTGGTGATTTACTGGTGTGGAAAATTACCTGGTAGCCAAGTGGGCTTTCTGTTCTGACCCATTCCTACAGTCCTGAACCAGGCTGAACAAACACACCAAAATACATGCTTAGAAATGCTCCTATGTATCCGTTTTCCCAGGAAAAACTATAATATTATAGAAATCTTATAATTCTTTCCCGATAAAAAATTACAGGATACAAAACAAAAGAAATAAAAAGAGGGCTGGATGGGCACAAGAAAACAATCAGGTGAGAACAACATATGACTATGTCTGTAGGTAGCACCCCAGAACTGACATTCTCCCCAAACTTATATTGCTGAGAAAATTACCTCTGACTGTTCTAGTGGGAATGTGAGAATGGAAAGGACACGATACCCACGGGTCCAGGCCCTTTGCTGAGGCTGCAGGATGGGAGTCTGTGAATCTATTGCAGCATCACAAATCTTTTCTGATAACCCCTCTGTGTCTGTCAGTTCCAGTGTCTTGCCCAGTCCTCACCCTCAGGGCTCCCAGGCCCCAGGCTGTGGTGGGGGATCTGCTGACGCTTCACTGTGAGGCCCAGAGAGGCTCTTCCCCGATCCTGTACTGGTTTTATCATGAGAATGTCACCCTGGGGAACAGCTCAGCCCCCTCTGGAGGAGGAGCCTCCTTCAACATTTCTCTGACTGCAGAACATTCTGGAAACTACTCCTGTGAGGCTGACAATGGCCTGGGGTCCCAGCGCAGTGAGGCGGTGCCAATCTCCATCTCAGGTGGGTGGGTGCTACCTGGATACAGAGTATGATGGCAATGGCTGTGTCTCACCAGTCTGGAGACGTCTGCTATGCATGAGGAGGGGGGAGTTGATCTCAGCGTCCAGCTGTTCCTCTTCTCCCCACACGGAAGAGTACAGACTACACTTCAAAGACCTCTTCCATGAATTTGTATTTGCCATCCCTACATAGTATTCACAAGAAGGGCCCAAGTCTTTAATCTCTGAGGCTGAAGCACTGCTTTCTTTCCTCAGGACCTGATGGCTATAGAAGAGACCTCATGACAGCCAGAGTTCTTGGGGGCCTGTTTGGTGTCCTTGGTTTCACTGCTGCTGCTTTGCTGTTGTATTGCCTGTTCCACAAGACGTCAGGTTGTAACTACTATTTGAATTTTCCATATTTTGCTATGGAAATTTCCACTACTGATATAGATTGAAATTCCAAAAAAAAAAAAAAAAAAAGAAGACGAAGAAAAGAAACCCTCCAAAATCCAATAATTTTTTTTTTAGGCTTCAAATTCTGCAAAGTCCTGTGTAATGCTCAATGTGGTTATACTGCTAATTATACAATATGTCATTGTCTCCTGTGCATAGTCACTTGAGATTAAAATATTTACACATTCCCTCCATGTTTGACTCTTAAATTAAAAATTCTAATTCTTAATTGCCATTTAATAATTTTCAACAGACGTAATTACCTTATGTACAATGGAGCAAAATGTAAAGAGGAGCTAGATTTAAGGGAACTAAAACAATTTAATGTGCTCTTTTTTCTTTTAATTATCCATTTAGTATTAGCTACCTTCTTTATGAAAAGAGCACAGACTCCTTGAATTCTGAGATGCATGGTATAGATCGTAAGAAGCCATCTTCACTCACATATCTGGCTGTTGATGCTGGCCATATGTTGCAGCTTCAGCTGAGACTCAACGAGAGCACATATATGCAGCCTCTCAGCATCGCCTGGATTTCCTCACAGCCTGATGACCTCAAAGTAGCCAGACTTTTAACATGCTGGTTCAGGCTCCAAAAGCAAGTGTGGTAATGAAGCTGCAATGCATTTAATCAACTAATTTCAAAAATTATGATGTTGTGTCCTTTATACCACAATGTTACTGTGTCCTGGTGCTTCACAGTTGCCTAGATATCAGTGGAAAGGGCACAGACTTTACTTCTAAATGGGAGAACTGTCAAAGAATTTTAAGCACATTCAAAAAATTTCCACATATATCACCATGAGTTCCAATCTACTATGTCTTTAAATCCCACAGCACTATCAAAATCACAAGCCTCTTGACTGTCCTCTCTGGAATCAGCAAATGCTCCTTGGAACAAGTGATTCCAGAAGTTAGGTTTTTCTCCCTGAGCCCTTCCCCTCTTTAGTTGAAGATTTTTGTGTCTATGTTCATCAGTGATACTGGCTGGTAGTTTTCTTTTTTGTTTGTATTCATGTCCAGTTTTGGTATCAGGGTAATTCTATCCTTGCAGAATGGGTTAAAGAGAATTTCATTCTCTTCAATTTTTTTTTTTTTTTTTGGAACAGTCTGGGGAGGATTGGTATTAGTTCTGTATACATTTGGTAGAATTTGGTCTAAAGTACTTTGAATATTTCATCTCATTCTCTCTTGGCCTGTAAGGTTTCTCTGAGAAATTCACTGTTAGTATGATAGAGTGTGTGTGTGTGTGTGTATAGGTGATTAGATGCTTTTCTCTTGTTAAAAAATTCTCTCCTTGTATTTGACTTTAGACTGTTTTATTATAGTGTGTCATGGAAAATACTTTTTTGCATTGTATTTGTTTGAAGATCTCAGAGGCTTTTGTATCTGGATGTCTAAATCTTTTGCTAGACTTTAGAAGTTTTCCTCTATTATTTCATTAAATAGGTTTTCTAACCTTTTCATTCTGTCTTTGTCATCTGGCACCCCAATAATTTGAATGCTTTTCAAAAAGTATTCAAAAAGTTCTCTGAGTGACTTAATCATATACCTGTAGTGGCAATGCTGGGCCAGGCAGGGGAAAGGGTCCTCAGGCCCCTGGGAAGCCAGCATGGCTTGGGCAATGGCAGTGACAGTGGCGGGACTGCCCTCTGAGTTCCAAAGAGTGCAAACTGGTGCTGGTAGTGGCTGTGGTAGGCTGGGCAAGTCAGACTTCAGACCTGCAGGTGGTGCATGTGGGTAGGCATCAGCTGGAGTGACAGTGGCAGGATTGGTAAACCCAACCTCAGGCCCCCTGGAGGAGGATTAGGTACCATGGTGGTGGACTGGGCTGGGTAATTCCCTGGCCTCCAGGCTGTGTGCTCTGGTGTGGTCAGGGGGAGGGCAAAGCCATGCTGGGTGGGCTTATCCTCACACTTCCTGATCCTCTCTGTTCTCCTGTCTCAGCAATTTTTCACTATCTTACTACCTTTTCAATGCTTATAAACAGACTTTAAAACTCTTTTGCCCAGCCTTTCTAGTTGTTAGTAGAAGAGTTGGTCTTTGGTATGTTAATGAGATGAGTCCCAACAGAGGGACTCCTGGATAGCTTCAAGATAAGAGCTGGTTTTCAGAAACACCAACCTTCTGATTAGAGGGTTGGAACTTCCAGCCCCACCTGTGGACCTCTGAGGACGGGAGAGGGACTAAAGGTTTATCTAACCACCAATTGCCAATCATTTAATCAATCATACCTATGTAATGGGAGCACTATAAAAATCCTAAACAATGGGATTTGGGGAGCTTGCCAGTTGGTGAATACGTCTATATACTGGGAGGGTAGAGCACCCCATTCCCATGGAAATGGAAACTCCAGTGTCCAGTACACTTCCAGATATCGCCTTACCTTTTTTCATCTGGTTTTATATTTGTATCTTTTATAATATCCTTTAAAATAAACCATTAAGAGTAACTGAAGTGTTTCTTTGAGTTCTATATAGAAAATTACTGAAACTGAGGAGGGAGTATGAGAATCCCCAATTTATAACAATTTGGTCAGAAGGATATGAAGCCCATGACATATTATTGGCATCTGTAGTTGAGGGCAGTTTTGCGGGACACAGCCCTTTACCTATGGGGTCTACATTAATTCTGAGTAGTGTCAGAACTGAGTTTAATTGTAATTAGTATTGTAAGAGTTGGAAAATTGACTGGTATGGGGGAAGAAAGACACACCCGGCAACAGAAGTGTTGTGGATAAAAACAGCTATACTAAATATCAAATACTATTCAGATCTAACTTTAATGCTCTATTCTGTTTGTGTATGTGTCAATATGTGTGTACGTGTGTTTGTGTGTTTGATTTGTATGCCTTCGCTTTATAGCAATACATTTATTTCTTCTATCAAGGTTGTTCCCATCATGACTATGTTATTCTTACAGAATTTTTCCGGATGTTATTGCTTATTTATTTTTCCCCACAAGCAATATAATCAAGTATCTCTCAAGAAATTGTTTTTATTAGGATTCTCTTAAATTTTGAGATTAATTAAGGAAGAATTGACAGCTTTATAATGAGAAATTTTTCATCCAAGAGCATGTCTACTTTTGGAAAATTTTGAGTCATAGTATTTTAGGGTTTTACTTATATAGGCTTTCATCATTTCTTGCTAAGCTTGCTCCTGAAATATTGTTGCTATTGTAATTGACTCATTGAACCAGGGTACTCTTGGAGTGCAACCATAAAACTTAATTTTTTGTCTCCCTCTTCCCAATGCCCATTCACACTCACTATTAGGGGCTTATATTTTCCCTTACTCTGGTTGAAATCTCAGGTAGGCCCATAGTCTATCCACTTAGTCCTTGTATTAGTTGGCTTTCATACTGCTTATAAAGGCACACCTGAGATTGGGCAATTTACAAAAGATGTAAATTCACTATCACAAGAACAGTACGGGGAAGACTTGCCACCTTGATGAAATTACCTCCCACTGGGTCTCTCCCACAACATGTGGGAATTCAAGATGAGATTTTGGTGGGGACACAGACAAACCAAAACACTTCTACGTAATTTTAGGCAAACAACAACAGCAACAACGAAAACTCTTAAATTAATCAGTGTGCTTGGTCTCATGTAATAATGATGAAAAGCTTTCTGGATCACAAAGATAAAGCACTCACCTCCCACCCACTCACCTCAGACCCTCTTCAGGCCAGCCTTCTGCAGTGTGTAAAGGTTTCTAGCCAGATGTTTCTCTCTTTCCTCAACTGGCTTCTGTTTTTGAAGCCCCCGTGGTTGGCATTGATTTCCTCTGGCTCCAAAAAAGCTGACTCTCCAGGTTTGCTGGATTGAGAAAATCAGTTCTTATTTTGGTGGGATGTTTCTGGATTCTCCAGAGCCCCCCCAACTATTAACATTACCTACCCTTCTTGCAGGTGATTCATTTTTCTCCAGCCGAGCACTTAACGACTCTCTTCAGTTTCCAAGAATCTAGAGCCTTCTTCCCCTTCTCCTCCACCCTCATTTTGGAATAGGCAGTCCTCCTGGGCAGATTTTGAAATGGCTTCAAGCTAGGCCTGTCTTCCACAGGGCTCAGATCCATCCACAAGAACACTCACACATCATTGCACCCACCTGTAAATATGCAGCTCCTGCCTCAGGCAGATAACCATATCTTCCCTGAAATGAATGTTCCTTCACCTGCTTTTCAAGGGGAAGTTTTCTCCTTAAGATTCCTCAGGCATGTGTCCACACAGGGCACTCCTGCCCGAACCAAGCTGGCCTTAACACTGTCCTCAGATTGACTATAGACTCCTCATCTCCCTTTTCTTAGAGTATTTACTTTAGAAAACTTGCAATTGTAAATCCTTTCTCTGCCTCTTTGAGATACAAATTTCTCTTAGCCTCTTGCCAGTTTCACAACCCAGAAATGTCTCTCTAGGACTTGGGAGCTGTCCCTTTGAAATGTAATCATCTAGAAAGATAGCACCTCTATCTCCTATATGGTAAAACTTAGAATTTATTATTTGTTCTACCAATTTTGCTCTTTTTTTTTTTCCCATTTATTTATTTTATTGCATTTTAGGTTTTGAGGTACATGTGAAGAACATGCAAAATTGTTGCATAGGAACACATGGCAGTGTGATTTGCTGCCTTCCTCCCCATCACCTACATCTGG